GTTTCACGAGATTGTAAGGACGAATAAGTATAGACAGAGAAGAACGGTAAGACCAGACCCTGAGGAAGACTGGAACGCGGTTACTACGCCCCCATTCGAGATAGAAGTTGATCCGAGAACAAGAGAAAGACTACGGAGGAGAGCAGAAAAAGAGAGGGAGGAGTTAAGGAAAAGGAAGGAGGAGGAGCAGATAGAGGAGGTTATGCTCAGGGAAAGTTGGAGGAGGACAAGGGAAAGGAGGGATGATCTACAAGAAAGGGTGAACGAGCAAAGGAGGAAGATGTCGGAGGATGGAGAGGAAAAAGAGGTAGGAGAAGGACAGGAGGAGGTGGTAAGAGATGAAGAAAAGAAGAGAGAAGAGGAGGACAAGGAGAAAAGGGTGGAAGGTGCAGAAAAGGAGCTTACAATCGTGCAGCAATTCTTGATCAACAGATGTAATTTCTTTAATTGCATGTATTCTACATCGTTATGAAGATATTACACTTCGCACAAGTATAATTTATGCGTTAAGATCCTCCGTGCGTCGAATACTGCGACCAGTACGCGCCCATAACGCGGATCAAATGCGATATCTGACTCGAACGACATATTTTTATAGAGGCACCTTTGGACCTTTAAATTCTTTTTTTAAATAAGTTAGTGTAAAAAATGTAATGTAATACAATTTCCAGAATATTACGTATAGAAATCAGTTGTGCACCGAACGGAAGGTATAAAATGTACGTATAACTAGAACGACAATAATATTTTTTCCACAAGCGAAATTAAAAATTCCAATTTATCCGTATTTTGTCTTTTGACCTATAGTTTACATATGTGAAATTTGATCAAAATAGTGCAAAGTTTTATAAAAAAAATTTGCAAAATAATGTTAATTTTTAACATATTTTTTAAACAAATAAATTTTTCAAAAATCCACTTAGGCCATATTATTGGCCTTCTAAAACAGAAAAATTTACACTTTTAATTTTTTGTCTAGGCCTAATAGTTCCTGAGATATTCGAGAAAATATGTTTTGCAACCCCAACTTTGGGGGCCATTTTCACCCCTTCAGCATGGACGATGGCCGATAAAAAAAAATACGTGTCAAATATTTTTTTGCGTTCTATATCATACTCAAAGCGCATCAAAATCGGCGATTGGCGATTGGGTAATGTCCCTTGTTAGTGTGTGAACTAACTGTCATTAAATTTTTTCCAACCACACACAATACTTCCCATACTTTTGATCACAACCCACTATTATCCTATTGCGATAGAAAGAAATTACCACTTTTTCGCGGATTCTATCAAGTAATGATGCCTTTTCTAAAATATAAACAATAAATATACGAACCAATATCTGTGAATGAAGTTATGATTAAAAAATGTGTGATGCGTCAAAAGTAAGTACTAATATACTTTGCTAGGTATCAACAGAGTCATTTAGTCGTATACGAAGTCTCCTCGTATAGTTTTGAGGCCAGTGATCTAAAATGACCGATCGTAATAGCTGAATGCGCGACTCGCCTACCTGAAACCGGGGTACCCCGCGTCCTTTTCCAGCTTGTAGAGACGTCAATTTTCGAGGCTCCATCGTTCTGAAGGGCTCATTTTAAAGGGGAAGCTTTATGAACATATTTTTTTTTAATTTTAACCCTTTACGCCCCTCATTGAGAAAAACGCAAAAAAAGAATTTGTTTAAATTTTTCAACATTTTATAACAAATTGACAAAGCTAAAAAAAATATTTTGAAATAGCCCAAACCTTCAAGAATAAAACAAAAAAAAATTTAGCTAAATCGGTTCAGTAGTTTCTGAGAAAAAAATTCCCAAGTGGACCCCATTTTCGCCAAAATGGGCAAAAATTGCAAACTTTGACGGCTTGTCATTCATTAACAAATTCGAAACCGGCAAAATGATGACTTAAACCCCCC